GCTAGGGAATACGGACGAGAGGGAGTGCAGTTTTCTTTTATGCAGGGATTGACTGGGACTGGGCACGGTTGGGTTGGGTTTGAGTGGGATGGGATGGGATGGGAGGGAAACGCTCTCCTTGGGCAGAGGCAGGGGAGTGGGAGAGGTGTATCGACTGCCTTCAAATGTTTTTCTTCTCCAAGTAGGGTGGGTTGGTTGTTCTTAGGTTAATGTTTTATTCTGTTTCTGTTGTTCTTTGCCTCTCGTATTGTTAGCCACTCTGAGCCTTTTTGAGACAGGTATTATATAAACCTAGCAAATACGGAAATGGGTGCGGAGGGAGTCTGAGCAGCTAGGGCAGAGAGGGGCTGTGAGGGCAGGTTTATCCCATCCCAGATGGGAAGCAACTAGGCCAGCAGGCAGGGGAAAGTGAATTGTAGTGAAAGGAGTCCCTGGAGTGCAGCTACGCTGCGGGCTCAGGCTGGGCAGATGCACTGAGGCAGCCCAGCACTAGTGGACGTGACTTCTTTGGGGTGGGGGGCTGGAGAAGTGACCCAAAGGGTCGAGACGTAGCAGTAAGTAAAACATGAATAAAATACAAGGTGAATTCAAAGGAGAGAAGGTATTTCCCAAGGGGGTGGTGTGGATTTTGCCGAGATCCCTGCGCAGAGCCTGGGCTCTGGTCATAAAGCAGCGTGGCCACACAGATTAGGTGCTGTGAGTCTCCTGCTGCATCAGGACCTGTTGATAAGAGCCTCAAATCTACAGGACATTTCCTCTGGCGCACAAAACAAGGCAGATGTACCCTGATAACATCGGGTCGGCCCTACGCCTTTGCACAAAACAGGGAGGGAAGCGTGCACTGTACTTTCCACTGGAAACCTCGGTGACCTGCCCCTCAAGCCCCAGAGCAGAGTGGTGGTGCAAACCGAGGAGCGATGAGGGGCGCAGGAACTAAAGACCTGACGGAAGATGGTCGGGGCACGAAGCGGAGAGCAGACCCCTGGGAGTGCAGGGCTGTGGTGAGACACCCCAGCTTCCCCGCAGACCACGGCGAGCCCGTGCCTCACTAGTATTCACATCACCGAAGGAGAAGGGGCCGTTGTCCCGCCCTACCCTTCTGCCCTGTCCAGACATGAACGGGATACAGGAGATGTCCCTGGACCTTGTGTGTAGTAGAAAGTTTCACACCTTCACTGGACGGCTCCAGGTCTGCGAGCCCCTCCGTTTCAACGTGTGGCTGAGGCCAGCTTGTGATGTGCTGCGCTGGGGTAGCTGTGACAGTGACAGCCATGGAAGCGTCCCAGTTTGCTCAGGGAGGACTGCGACGGGAACACGAGCCGTCTGCCTTGGTCGCGGTACATCAGCTGCGGTGCACAGGGCACCGTGTGTGCATGCCTGATGCACGCTCACCAGAACACCTGCTCCGCTCCCAACTCGGCCAAGGACAAAGGACACGCAGGGGCCAGAGGAAATGCGTCGAGGACACCCTCAAGATGAACATAAAGAAGTGTGGCATTGACACCACAAATTGGGAAAACTAGCCCGGGACAGGGCTACATGGTGACATCTTGTGAGAGAAGGCACATCTTACTTCGAGAAAAACAGTCTCTCCCTGGAGGCCGAAATGGAAGGAAAGGAAACAAGATGGAGAAATCTGCAGTTCAGTCCTCCCTTTAGCCACCACCTGTGGTGTCTGCCGGAGAGTCTGCGGCTCTAGGATTGGCTGCCTTAGCCATCCACGGACTCATCTACAACCTTTGCTTGACCCGTGGGAGTGATCATCCTCGACCTTGAGGGACTGCCGCCCCCGATGACTTTTGCTCAGCTGAGGATTGCATCAGAGCAAGGCATTTTTAAGCTGTGCCTGTTTGAAACCACCAGTCATTTTGACATGAGGAATTATGCAATATTAATGTCAGCCTTCCTGCAAAGGTTGAGCAGGTAGATGTGGGGTGAGACGTGATCTGCCCAGCCACGGTAACTGCTACGGCATTACGCTTGTTCCGGTTCCACTACTTTTCCAGTGCAGAAGAGACGATGGCGACCCGGAGCGATGACTCGTCTCTGCTCGAAACACAGGGCCGTCTTTCCCGAGAGCGGGTGGCTTGGCGAGCTGCGTTCCAGCCGTGTCGTGGCTGGGGCGGGCTGGAGCG